TTAATTTTTTACTATGGGAAGGCACTTTCTGCAACATAACTACTGTAGCCAGCTGTTAGGGATCGACCGATATTGTTTTTTTAGAGCCGATACCGATAATCTGTGAACTTTCAGGCTGATAGCCGTAACTTGCCGATATTCTGTACATTTACCATTTTGAAAAAACAAACAATTTCTAAAGGTAAATGCACAAATTATACATGCCACATGTAGTGGATACAGTGTGTTTAGACAGGGGAGCTGTGTGTGTGTGTGTGTGTAGTGTGTATATATAGTGAATGCAGAGTATGTAGTGTGTGTATATAATGCAGAGTGTGTGTTTGTGTAGTGTGTGTGTGTGTGTGTATAATGCAGAGTGTGTGTTTGTGTAGTGTGTGTATATAATGCAGAGTGTGTGTTTGTGTGTAATGCAGAGTGTATATATAATGCGTAGTGTGTGTTTGTGAAGGGATGTAATTTGTGTAAAATGGGGAAATGGGGGGGAAGAGGGGTAGTTTCTATTTTATTTTTAATATTTTTATTTTTTTATTTTTTTTTGTCCCCTCTCCCTGTTTCATACCTGGACAGGAAGGGGGCTATAGCAGTCCCTGGTGGTCCAGTGGCGTGTACTGGGCAGTGGGGGCTGGCAGCAAGCTGTTACTTACCTTTCCTGCAGCTCCCCAGTGTAAATCTCGCGACCCTTTGCCATGGTAACCCGTGGCAACGCTCTGCGTTTCAGTTTTTGTAATGAGCCCGGCGGTCCTAGGAGGTATTATCGGCAATATCGGTATCTCTATTGGCCGATACCGATATTGCCGAAAATACAGAATATCGGCCGATAATATCGGATAAAATCGATAATCGGTTGATCCCTTCCAGCTATATTGGTTATTGCGCTTGCAGTATTCCTTTAATTTGCAAGTATGTCCTGTGGACATTGAAAATGGGTGGTAATTCCAATGAAATCCAATATGTTTAAGGGAGTAGATTAGCCGTATTAATTAAATTTATTTGCTGCACTCATCAGGATCAAACAAGAGGAGATGGCTCGCAAAGCAGAGGAAGACAGAATAAGGCAGAAAGAAGAAGCAGAGCTTTTAAAAGAACAGCAAAAACTGCAAAGGGAAGAAGATGAGAGAAAAGAAGAAGAAGAAAGGGTCCGTAAAGAGCAAGAAGAACAGGAGCGTCTTGCTGAGCTTCAGCTCCAAGTAAGGCAGTAATGTAATAAATGTTAACTTTGGATGTTCCATAGAAGAAGTGTGTAGTGGTTATGGAACTTTTCTTTTTTTCTGTTATTGTAAATTAATGAAAGCAGTTCATCGAAGACAAAAAATACACCTAGATGACTTTCTGGTGATCAGTAGTTTATTCTGAATGGTTTTGTTTAATCAGAATCCAACTAGAGTTCAAATCCCATGCAATAATTAGAATGGACCAATAGTAGTAATCTGGTGCAATAACAATATAAATATACAAAGTCCATAATGTTTACATTTATACTACCATTTATCTAATGTGTAGTTTTATATTGCATCTACTTATATTTAATTACTATCCTTTTGGTGGTCTATTATATCAATTATTACTTAATTCTGTATAGTCAGTGTTTGTGTGTAACAGTGTGTATATACGTGCCATGCATAGTATTCTCATTCTCTCCACATCTCGGCTTCCAGGCTCTGAGATCACTGTTTATTGCTATTGAGATATCCCTGCTCCCACAGACTTAACACAGTGATCTCTGCACAGACTCTGGCAGCCATGAGGTGGTTGGTTTTTAACACGCAGAGTAGGCACCTAAAGCATCCCTATCATCTTCTCTGTCCAATTATAAATCCAACTCATTAGATGAGACTTAAATCCTATAGTGCTTAGTTCAAATGCTCATACCGTAGTTTTGAAACGCTGGATTACATGACCGGCATTAAGGGTTGTGTGTACATTTACACATATTCTGTCTAAGCTGTTTAATCTTTTGGCATAGCATAGTCCCCAACAGCTGTGGTGGCAAAAGTTAGCAATTACTTATTTAGTTAGAAGCTGTGTGTATGTGCCAAAGTACCCATTCTTATTTCCACAAAACAAGTACCTTAAATAAACCTGATCAGAATTTGTATGAAGTCCTACAAAGTTGGTATTTGTTTTTAAGAGAGAAGAAGCAGAAGCAAAAGCCCTTGAAGAAGCTGAAAAGCAAAGACAAGAGCGTGAGAAAATTATGCAGCAGAATATGCAAGAAAGACTTGAAAGGAAGAAGGTATTATTAGCAATATAAATAAATATTATACCTTTTGGCTGGTGTCATCGAGAATCTGCTGTACGTTTAAGCTAAAGAATAACGCACATTTTTAGACCAGATTCATTCACTTACACAACAACACAAATCTTTTAACCCCTTAAGGACTGAGCCAAATGTACACGTTGTGATCAAAACAAAACGTAAACAAAAAATTGAATTTGTGCTATATGTCTGTACAGGCGTAATTCGCCTCTTTCATATTATGTGCACCCACACTTATTTTATATAATTTTTTTCAGGAGAAACAAGGCTTTCATTTAACATCAAATATTTAGATATGAACCAAAATTTAATATGAATAAAATATAAAAAAAAAAAGGGGAGAAAATACGAATGTAAAAAAATAATTTAGTTCTACGTGACATTCTAACTGTGAATTTCATAATACTGTTTGCTTTTACTGCAATAAAATACACATATATGTATTCAGCGATGTCTCACGTGTAAAACAGTACCCCCTATGTACAGGTTTTATGGTGTTTTGGGAAGTTATAGGGTCAAATATAGCATGTTACATTTTTCATTTTTTTCACATTTCCAAGGTATTGTAAATGGGGTATTTCCAGTCTTTTTTAGTAGCCACTTGGTCACAAACACTGGCCAAAGTTAGTGTTAATATTTGTGTGTGAAAAATGCAAAAAACTAATCTGAACACCAATTTTGGCTAGTGTTTGTGACTAAGTGGCTACTAAAAAAGACTGGACATACCCCATTTGCAATACCTTGGGTTGTCTACTATTGCAAATGGTATGCCATCATGGGGGTAATTTTCATTCCTGGGCTACCATACGGTCTCAAAGGCAACATAACCAATCTGGCGAATTTCAATGTGAAAAAACTGAAACGCAAACCTTATATTTGACTCTGTAACTTTTGAAAACACCATAAAACCTGTACATGAGGGGTTCTATAATACTTAGGAGACTTCGCTGAACACAAATATTAGTGTTTCAAAACAGTAAAATGTATCACAACAATTTTATATCGTCCGGGTAAGTGTCATTTGTGTGTGAAAAATTCAAAAAATTTCACTTTCACTGACGATATCATCGTTGTAATATATTTTACTGTTTTGAAACACTAATATTTGTGTTCCGCAAAGTCTTCCGAGTAAAACAGTACCCCCTATGTACAGGTTTTATGGTGTCTTGGAAAGTTACATAGTGCCAGCAAATTAAATTCCCTGGACTTTCATCCTGGGTTCTCGCTCTCCCTTCAACTCAGTGATATCCACATAAGTCCATCCCTGCAAGCGCGCTGTCTTGGCGTCATACTTGACTCTGGTCTCACCTTTGAGCCTCACATCCAGTTTGTTGCCAAGTCCTGTAGGTTCCAACTCAAAAACATAGCCTGCATTCGCCCCTTTCTTACGCAAGATGCTACCAAGGAGCTTGTCCATGCTCTAGTAATTTCCCGCATGGATTACTGTAACCCTCTCCTGATTGGTCTCCCCAAAAGCCGCATTGCCCCGCTACAGTCTGTCATGAATGCTGCAGTTAGACTGATTTTCCTCTCTAGTCGGTCCTCTCACACCTCACCCCTCTGCCAGTCTTTACATTGAATTGACTCCTATAGCATACAGGGAGCCAAAGTGCTAACCCACACATTTAAAGCACTGAACAATTCTAGCCCCACTTATATCTCTTCACTAATCCATAGATATGCACCTCCTGACCGCTGCTCGCACCCGTACGGCCAACTCGCGCTTGCAGGACCTCTCGTGGGTGGCTCCTCTACTATGGAATAGCTTGCCTACTGCCATCAGACTCTCCCCTAGTCTTCAATCATTTAAGAAGGGCCTTAAAACCCATCTCTTCGGGAAAGCTTATGGCCTCCCACAGTAATCTCTACCTTACATACCTGTCTCCTGCTCTCTCCTATGGGACAGTGCTTTGCTCTCTCCTCCAGCTCTGCTTCACTCCTACTTGATATTTCTTGTCCTAATGTTTCTTTTTTTGACATTCTTTATTTATGTTTTTCATTATTAAATCACAGCATGTATATCCAATACAAATTAACAGGTGATAACAGATAAACGGGTCAGTTATGAGTATTACAGCATCAAGATGGTTTCAACAACTGGTTAATAGGTTGTGTTTGAGTATTTGGTTTCAATAAAACAGTGAGCGTTCTTATGTGATGTGTTCTGTCGTTGGCCCTGTATGGGGTTAGTCCCCTGTGTGGTTGGATGTGTATGGGGTTTGCGGTTAATCCGCAAGATTCATGCGTGTTATCGGGTGGGTTGTTTCAACCGCTCTGGGTTGTGCTCGTGGGTCAGGGGGGGAGTTGTGTATCCCTGCGTTTTTCTCTGAGCATCCTCATTTGTAGGTAGGACCATATTGGAGAGGCTGGCTCAGTGCAAGGTTTCCCTTCACTCACATATTGGGTCTAGTGTGTCCCATGGTACTTAAGAGTTGTGGAAGTCTCTGTCTACGTGCGGTGCGGTTCATCTTTGTCCCCAGCATCGTACGTAATGATTTGTTTGTGTTACTAGTGCCAGGCTGATGGGTATAGAGCTATGTCCCAGTCCGTGTTGTGTCTGCCTACGTGTTTCGATCTTTGGGGGGGCACCGTCTGGGGCTTTGAATGGGGGTTCCAGTCCGGTTAGTGTTTGATTTGTGCGTTGGTTCAGGTCGTAATGGGCCTGGTGTGGATGTGTTCAGTCTTAAATCGTGAGGGGGCCGATTATGTTGCCCCTGTGACCGTGTGGTTACCCCCTATTCTCCCTGGGTCGATCTGTTTTTTGGGGTTTCTAGGGGTAGTTGACCTTGAGTTGTCCGTAGGTGCAGCTAGTATGTGTGGGGTTGTCCTGCGATGTCTTGTTATGTAGGTGTGCGGCGTGTGGGGTCTGTGTTAGTCGTCGTGTCGTCACCTCAGGCCCCTGGTTTGTGTCACCCGTGTGGTGGGCGTAATCATATCAGCCCTGGGGCCTTTGCACGGTCCCCGTGACACTTCTGGATACCTAAGTCTAGGTTGTTATATCTTATCTTGTATCTCGCTGGGCTCGGTGTGTGTGGGGTTATGTCTGCCACCTGCGGCAGCCCTGGTTGTTGGCGTGGTCTGGGCCGGGTGCTACTGGCTCAAGTCGTGGCTTCTTGCGTCTGGGGTGGGGGACTCCCTCTTCCCTCCGTCCCCTAGTGTATCAGTCCATATGTTGCTTTAGTGGATCACTCCTCCCCTCCCGTATCCCGTGGCCCTCCGCATCAGTATCTGCTTACTCACTGATTCCGCTATGTGCGGAGCCATACGTCGGTCCGCGTGCCCCCGGGGGTTGTGTCCCTCAGGGTCTTTTGTGTGTCTATGTGTCATGTGGTAGGAGGGGTGGGGGGGGCGCGTAGGAAGTGTGTCTCCGTCGTGCTGGGGATGCAATCTACTCGTCTGGTACTTCCTATGTCTGTGCATTGTTCTGTCGGGGGGGTTGTATTGGTGCGGGGGCGCCGTCCATCTCCACCGGGCCTCCTCCTCCCGTCCGTTTTGATGTGTAGTCCATCCATGGGTACCACGTCACGGCGCATTTTTCCTGGCGTCCCTGCAGGGAGGCTGTCATCATCTCCATGTTATATATCATCTCCACCCTATCTACCCATTGTTGCAAGGTTGGAATCGTCGAGCTTTTCCAATGGAGTGGGATGAGTGACTTCGCTGCCGTAAGTAGGTGTATGAGGAGTCCTTTCTTGTAGATCTTCACAGGCGTGCGCGTGTGGTTGAGAAGCAGTGGCATGGGTTGGAATGGGACGTCTGAGTCCGTGATATCTTTGATCGTCTGGTGTATCATCCTCCAGAACGGTTCGATACGTGGGCATGTCCACCAGATGTGAATGCTGGTTCCTATCCCTGTGCCGCATCTCCAGCATTCGTTCGAGATTGACTCGTGCACGTGCTGCAGGATGTCTGGCGTCCGGTACCATCCTGTTAGAATTTTGTAATTGCATTCTTGGAACTTGGAGCTGATGGTCCCCCTGTGTGTTAGTTGAAAGATTTTAAGCCATTCCATTTCAGTAAGCTCCACCCCGGTCTCTCTTTCCCATCGCGATGTGAAGCCTAGAGGGCTCTTATCACCGTTGCTTAGCAGCGCGGTATAGAGTTGTGAGACTCCATGTGAGAGGTGTTGTCTGGCCGCGCATAGGTGTTCCATCATCAACAATGGGCGGTGTAGGTGGCCTTTGCCTGCAATGCCGTCGAGGTATGTTTTCACTTGGTGATATCGGAAGGTGTCTAGGCCACTGGGCCTGCGGTCCTGCATCAGCGTTGCCAGGGGCTTGAGCGTCGTCCCGGAGTTGCATTGGTTAGCGTATACCCAGTCCGTGGCTCCCAGGTTTTTCAGGTCAGCCGTGCTTAGTCCTCCCGCTAACCTCGGATTGTGTGTTATTGGTGTGAGCGGATTGGGCGATGACGTGAGGTTTTTGGAGTATCGTATCCTACACCATACCTTCAGCGTGGCGTCGATCATTGGGTTCCCGGTAAGTAGTTCCTTGGGTAGTGCGTCTCCCAGCCATAGCATAGCGGGGATTCGTCCCTGGGCTTGGTGCTTCTCCAAGTCTACCCATTGCTTTGTGCTGGGGTTTGCATGCCAATCAACCAGTCTGTGCAGGTGGGTAGCGTGGTAATACGTGAGGATGGACGGCAATCCCATGCCTCCTTCTCCTCTAGGGCGTTCAAGAATCGCTCTTCGGATACGTGCTGGTTTTTGGTTCCAGACGAATTTCCTGACTGCGGTCGTCAAGGTCTGAAAAAATGCCCTCGGGAGGTTCGTGGGTACTGTCTGGAACAGGTATAGTAGTCTGGGCATAATGTTCATCTTCACGGCGCTAATGCGACCAAACCACGAGATGTACTGAGTTGTCCAGCGTTTCATGTCTTGTTGGAGGGTGGTGAGCAGGGGCGCAAAGTTCAGTTGGTAGAGAAGTGTCAGGTCTCTCGGGAGCCACACCCCAAGGTAGTGTAGCTTGGCTGTGGAGATCTTGAAGGGGAATTGT